GATATGGACAGTGAATGACAATCAATGTAGATTTTTCTAAAATGGAAGATTGTTCCATGACTCACACCACACAAATACATTATGTATACATACACGAACATTAGGTACGATTGTGTGACTATGAAACACGATGTCTACGTTTAATAATGTTTTTGGATATTTGTCAAATATTTTTGAAAAAAAAATAATTTTTTGTTGAAATCGCATGTTAGATTTGGTAAACTTATGATTAAAGATGGACTACTAAATGTGATTTTTTATGATTATGGAACAAATAATTTTAGTATATAGAATAGTGAGTGGCAATACATGTAAATTTCTTAAACATAGAAGGGTGTCTATATTTAATCTAACTCCATGCATAAACCCAAAAAAAAAAAAAATCCTAAAATCACTTATTCTTCTTTTCTTGTCCTTAAATACATATATTTTTTCAAACTTTAATGCAGATATTTATATTTATTAAATGGATATCCGAGGATTTTTTCGAGGAATAATTCTAAGAGACTTTCACTACAAGAAATAGTGTATATTTCCGAGGAAATTCCTCTGAAAAAAAATCCCCCTGGAAATTCCTTGAAATTTTTGACGGATTCCCGTCCGTCGGAAAATCGTCGGAATTGTTTGAATTTTCTAAGGGATTTTCGAGGAATTTTCGGTGAACTTCCGAGGAAAAACAAGCTCTCGGAAATTTCCTTGAAATTTTTGACGGATTTTCGTCGTCTGATTTTTTTGAATTTTCTGAGGGATTTCCGAGGGATTTCACACTTTATGAGGTATTTAATGATTCTCAGGAAGATGGAGGCGAATTTGAGGATGATTCTGAGTCTGACAATTCAGAATATTCTCTAAATGAAAAAGGCGAATAATAAGTTATTTAAGTTTGTATAAATTATTTTGAAGACTTTATGTTTTGAATATTTTTTTGAATGTTTGAAACCGTGATGTTTTAAAATTATTTTGAAAACTTTATGTAATAAATTATATAATGTTTTGAATATTTTTTTTATAAATAAATTCGATAGGATAATTTTAAAAATATTACAATACTAAAATACTATAATTTATTACAATACTAAAAATATTACAATACTAAAACATCACGGTTTGAGAAAATTTCTAAACCCTCGCAAATCCCTAGAAAATCCGTCGGTCATTTCCGAGGGTTTTCCGTGGACCAAAATTTTCGACGGATTTCCGACCGATATGGACATTCCCTCAGAAATCCCTCAGAAATTTATGACGGATTTCCAAGGGTTATAATATTTAATTTCGAAAGTTGTGGATTTTATGAATATTTAATGCTCTCTAATACACTAATATACCATATTTGTCAATACTAATTGATTGTAGACTAGCTAATATTAATTCAAAAATTCAAAATTTGTGTAATCACATCATCATCGTACTTAAGTGTTTATGAGAGGATATGTACGATATAGTTTGTACTTATAGGAAGTGATGAGATTAATAAAACGTTTGTGTTTATTGATCTAATATCATTTGTTCATTCTTTATATTGACAAATAATGCTTATTAGAGTATTAAGCAAAATTAGATTTCAATCAAATCCGCAAAATTAGAAATATAAAATAATTCCCTCGGAAATTCCTTAGAAATTTCTGAGGGATTTCCGAGGGTTTTTTTTATATATTTATAATTTTAATGGATTAATATAAATCTCTTTGACTGATAATAAGAATGTCGGTTTCGCAAATTATATTCGATTTCCTCAGATCCCTCAGAAATTTCCGACGGATTTCCGAGCAATTGCTTGCGAAAATAATTTCGCGCAATAATTTCGGTTGGGCGGTAAACCCAAAATATTTCTAGTATCTTCCGAGGGATATTTACGTCGGAAAACCCCACTGCAATGATCTATAATCCCAAAGATCCAACTCCTTTTTCCCGAAAATCACAAACATCGACCATCCTCTTCCCCTGGATCCGGGACCCGCGACCTTCACCGGCGACCTTCCTCGGTTTGCCTCCACCGGCGACCTTCTTCCTCTCCTCTCTCTCATCCGGCGACGCTATCTTCTTCCTCGGTTTGTCCCCACTGGCGATGCCATCTTTCTCGGTTTGTCCCTACCGGCGCGCCCTTCTTCCTCGTAATCCCCACTGTCGCCATCCTCTTCCCGGCGGTTTCCCCCCAGCCGCGACCTTCTTCCTCCCCTTTCCCTCCTCCGGCGACGCCATCTTCATCCCATCGATTATATGTAAGTTTTTTTTTTTTGGAAGGATTATTATATGTAAGTTTAATGTAATTGGTTAATGGATTGTGTTAAATTTAGATTAGGATTTTGGAATTAGATTGTTTAGTTTTAGATTAGGATTTTGGAGTTAGATTGTTAGATTTGTAATTGTTTCGTTTTAGTTTAGGATTTTGGAATTAGATTGTTTGATTTTCATGGTTAGTTTTAGATTTGAATTTTGGAATTATAAAATTTTGTGAATTTTAAATTTTTTTGTGAATTATAAAATTATAAATTTTATAAGTGAATTATAAATTTTGGTTCAAATTTTTGTGAATTATAAGTGAATTATAAAATTATAAATTTTATAAGTGAAATATAAATTTTGGTTGAAATTATTGTGAATTATAAGTAAATTATAGAATTTTTGTAAATAATAAAAGTTTTTTATTTTTAAATTTTAACATTTACCAATTTTGCAATTTAGGTCTTATTCGGAATTCTATGATACATTGTTACGGAGATCACATAGTGGCTCGGGAACACCGACACAATCACCTTCAAACGTCCCTGAGACATCAAACTTGCCACAGGTGATGACGATAGAGGAGTTTGTTACGCAATCGGAAAGACACCTTCTCCCGAAGCTCCACCCGCTTGAAGAAAACGACACAACTTGGTAA